GCACCCCTGCCCTGAGGTCTCCTCCAGGGATTCCCGTCTGGGAGCCAGGGCTATGCTTCATGAAAACCTCTGAGAACCCAGCTCCGCTGTAGATCCAGCCAGATTTAGGAGTCAGGAATAGCGTGTATTAATTAATATCAGAGAGATGTTGAGGGCGAGTTGCGCTGAAAGAAGAAGGGTGTGGCTTCTGCAGAGGACAGAGAGGAAAAAGTGAGGCCTGGGAGGGACAACAGCCTGTAACTGGAAAGAAACCCTAAGGCTAGTTTTACCAAAATCGGAAGGTACACGGAGGGCTCCTGGAGCACAAGAGCATAATTTCAATAGGAGAGACAATGTTGCCAGGGTTTTTGTTGTGTTTTGTTTTGTTTTTGTACCAGGGATCAAGCTCGGGACCTTGCCCTTTTGAGGCAGGTGGCAGCACCACTGACCTCTTCTCCCTACAGTTCAGGTGCAGGCAATAGATCACTCGTGTTTTGATTTCTGGCTTTCTGTGTATTTGACATTTATCATCTAAATTACTCCTTATAATATTAATTTGAATAATTAAATACATTTTATTACATACTCAGTGCTTTTTATTCAGATGAAACATTAAAAGAAACATGTTTATCTAACTCTTCTCTCCTGTGACTATTGGCAGAGATTAGAGGCATTTCATGTGCACTGTATACATACATATAATCTTTTTCTTTTAAAATATGAAGTATCTTTCTCAGGCCTTATAAATATAAACGTTGATTTAAGGGCTCAAGTATTTTCAAAGCTCAGTAACACATCCCAGTCTGTACTACAAAATAGCTACACACTTTTTCAAAGAGAAATTCTATACCAGGGAAATGTACGAAAGAAAACTCTCTGTTGAGAGCCAAGGGGCAATAAGACTGGGCCAGGGCTTTGTCTCGGTGGAGAAGTTATAATGAACCCGTTTCCCCAGTCGGTGCAGGGTTTTTCAAGAGAAGGCTGGGCAGTGGAAAATGTTAAGAAAAATTTTTCCATTCATCTCTCAGGCTTCAGTGCTCAGAAATATGAACCACCTGTAACAGGGCCTGGGGGACTCACAAAAGCTTCACAGATCACCCCTAATGGCTCGGCCTCCTGCTGACATGCAGCCCTCTCCCACTCTGAACATTTCATGATGGCCTCAGCTAATTATCCGGAATTTGTTTGTAATAAATGCCTTATGTTGCCCTACCGAGGCTGCCTTTCTCATTAGCAGTTCGCTTTTCCTGTGATGTGGGCACAAAAATAAAATTCCAAATGAAGAAAAGATAAACTTCGGGCTGAGCTGCATCTGTTTTGGAAAAGGAAAGGAAACGTAAGTGTTTACTTGGGCGTGGCTGAAAGGTTCAGGCTCTGCATTTTCTCTGGTGAATCTTTCATGTCCTACTTCACTGCAGACAGGAAATACACTTTTAAAACATGGGGAGCGGGGGTGGAGAATCTAACTTGTCATTGGTCGGAGGGTAAAAAGCTTTTAAGACCTTTTTAAAAAATGCCATTCTACTATTTATTTGCTCAAGCAAGGCGTGGGTGCCTGGCAACTCCTCCTGACACCTACACTTGGACTCTGTACCTGTGTTTCGAGGGCCCACACTGTCTTTCATTTCACAAAGGGAAAGCAGTTTTCTAAGGTCCATTTCAGCTCTTCTTAATAGCTAAAAGGCCGTGTGATCACAGCTCAGTAAGCTTTTAGATGAGTGGTCTCAACTGGGAGTAATTTATCCCCCTTCCCCAGAAGGCACTGGGCAAGGACAGACACATTCAGTCACAGCCACGCAAGGTGTGGAATGTGGAAAACTGCACAGCTCAGCACAGCCCCCACAGCAAGGAATCCCCCTGGCCCCAGCGCCCAAGGTGTGGAAGTGGGGTCCCCAGACAAATGGCTGTCTCCAAGCCTACTTCCCTTATCATTTTTTTTTTTTTTTTTTTTTTTTTGGTACTGGGGATCGAACTCGGGTCCTCGTGCTTGGGAGGCAGGAGGTGGAACCGCTGAGCTAAATCCCCGGCCCTTACTTCCCTTATCTTGGACACAGATACTACCTGGAAACTCCCTGTCACTGCAGCATGCCCAGTCAATGGGAGCATGGTTCTCTGTGTGGATGTCTGAGGAGTTGGGGGTACTGACTATGCTACAACCCCCCTGAGTCTTTAAGAGCACAGCTTCCAGAAATCCACCTCTGCCTGATGTGTCAGTGATACCATCAGAGCCATGACAGCGAAGCCATCCCAGAGGGTGCAGGGCAGCTATGGACAGTGGCACTGAGGGCCCTGCCAGTGGACTGGACAGTTGACATACACCAGATTCTGAGCCCAGTATCCAGGGATGACCATCATGGTCACTGAAATGGCCAAGAACTAAAATTGCGATGACACTGAGGACAGCGGCAGTAAATGCGAAGCTAAAAATCAGTAAGACAGAAATCTAAAAAGCTGAAAATCGTAATGTCCATCCTGGGCACCAGTGGACGGCAGCGAGAATAAGATGCAATGGGTGTTGTGATTGTAATTGTGCACATTCTGACCAGAACCAACACAAACAAGACAAGCCAGGTGTCTGTCATTTTTCCCTGGAGTGCGGGTGCTTTGAACAAGGAAATTAAGGATAACTGCTAGAGTAGAGGTACAGAGAGGACATTGCCCAAAGGATCCTGTATGTGTATCAGGGGAGGACTCAGAGAACTCTTCACGGAGAAGGTGACAGTTGCTTTGGATCTTGGGCTACTGTAATTATAATTGTGTACATTCTAACCGCTGTGATAATGTTGTTATGACCATCTGTCTATTTCAAGGGATGTCTAGGTTTTTGTTTTGTTTTACCTCCAATTACTGCGACCAGTAAAGTGAAGGCTTGTAATTTATTAACAGTCCGCTCTCCTCTAAGGGTAAGGAGAATATGCTCCCTTTGCAGTTCTGCCATTTACCAGAGAAAGAAGGTACTGCCTTGTCTGAATTCGCATTGCTTTATCCCCGGAAACATCCTTTACTCAAAACCTCCATTGCCTGATGAACCCCTCCAGCTTTCCTTGTGCATCTGAAATGAGTCAAGTTTGTTCTTTACGGGGGTCTTTTCATCCCTCCAGCTGATGCCTGTGCTCCAGGATGTCAGCACGGTTGTTTCCTTCTTGCTTTCAGACGCAGTGGGAGTCTGTCCCAGTCATCCTCTTTGGTTCCCTTCACGTTTGTCTATTTATTTACATCTCAGATTTCTACTCTCTTCTGCGCTAGGATACAACAGGGCTTGCCTTAATCACAGCTGTGTTTATAACAGTAAAATATCTTTGGTTATTAGCACAATTTTGCTAACAGGAAAGAACGTGCCAGGAATGGTAGTAGCCTGTGCTGGGGAGCAAACAAGTATATGGCACATTTTGAATAATAAAATACACATTTGGAAAAAATGTTCAAGATTTCCCCTAAGAGCTCTCTAATGAAAAAAAAGTATTTTTTATTAAATAAACCCTTAGACATAAATAACATCTTGCCACATGTGGAAGTTTAATAAGTAGCTATAATAGTTTACCTAAGATTTATGGATATTTACATATATTTAAGCCTTTAATAAGGGACAGAATGAAAATAATTTTCTCCTTAGTTCCTGGAGTTACAGAATGTGATTTTTTAAATAAATCAGCCTAGTAGAAAATCACTTGAGAGCTGTCATCACTGATGCTAATGCCCGTGATTATATAATCAGAGCTATAGAGGTTGATGCATGATGTTTACTGAGGAAAGATTTAAAACTTTGCCTTTGAGAAAGCTATGTCCGCAGACCCCTCTGCCGACATTCTCATCCGACTCATCATGGCCACTTGCCCTTGTTTCCTATTATTTGTCTGCCAGAAGTGACACTTTCTGGTATTTCAAATGCTGTCAGGGTGTGCATTCCTTCTTGATATGGTTTTTTTTCCCTTTGTGCTTGTGAGTCACTGATGGAAAATGTGGTGTCTTTAAAAAGTCTACCCAGGCCTTGTTTTTTCCCTTCTTTCTAATCTAAATTATTATATACATGGCTAGTTTCTAAATAAATGTTTGGGTTTGTTTTTTTTTAAAGAAGACATACCTTTTAACTTGGTTCAATGTGAAATCGGTCATTCCACTAATGTAACCAGTATTTCTCAAGAGTCTACCAGCTGACTGGACTGAGTTAACGAGCTGAGTTTTAAGGGTAGAGACATTTTAGGGATCAATAATATGTGAATAAAATAACACAGTTCACAGTAATAACAAAGCAACTAAGAAGAAGCGATATTAGACAAACAAGTACGAGAAGTCTTCTTGGACAAAGGATGTGTGAACTGTGACTGTAATGTAAGAAAGAGCCAGCTGCATGAATATATGTGACAGCCACCTTCTAGAGAGATGTTTGGTGGTAACCCAGGAAAATCAAGAGAAATTGATGGGGCTGCTACAGTGTAGAAAAGGGAAAGCAAGATAGGAGATGAGTCAAAAGGGTAAGCAGAAGGCAACTTCCTCTGGGAGCATGTAGTCCATACCAACACATTTAGAGAAGAACTATTGCCACTACTCTTTAAACTTTTTAGTGAAATTGAAAGAGAAGCAATACTTCCAGATTTATTCCTGGAACTAGGTGTTACTTTGATTCTAAAACCAGGGAAAGACCCAACCAAAAAGGAGAATTGCAGGCCAATCTCCCTAATGAATATAGATGCAAAAATTCTCAATAAGACAATGGCAAACAGAATACAGAAGATCATCAAGAAGATCATACACCCTGACCAAGTCGGATTTATCCCAGGGATGCAAGGATGGTTCAACAAATGTAAATCAATAAATGTAATACACTGTATTAACAGACTCAAGGACTAAAACCGTATGATCATCGCAACAGATGCAGAAAAAGCATTTGACAAAATTCAACACCCATTCATGATAAAACCCCTAGAGAAAATTGGAATAGATGATTTTATCTCAACTTGATAAAGGCTATCTATGAAGAGCCAACAGCCAACATCATACTAAATGGTGAAAAACTGAAAACTGTGCTCTCTTCAGCAGCTCATATACTAAAATTAGAACAACACAGAGAAGACTAGCATGGCCCCTGTGCAAGGATAAGATGCAAATGCGTGAAACGTTCTGTATTTTTCCTCCCTCTGTCAAACCTGTTCTCCCTCTCAGGTACTTCTAGCCCAAACTCCATCCTCCACCCATCCCAACTCCCACTTCAATCTGGCCAATACGCACTGCTCACCCTCCCCTACCCTATAACCAGGACAGCTCTTCCATCTCCTCACGTGCTTCTTCACCTCTGACATCTGGTGACCCTTCCTCACCTCCGCCATCTTGTGACCCTTCCTCACCTTCGCCATCTTGTATTCTTCCTCACCTCCGCCATCTTGTGTCTCTCCACCACACACCCGCTCTCTCCCTGCTCCTCCAGCCCCTCCCACACAGGCGAGTGAGTTAACAACCACTTCCTTGCTTGCTCTTCCTTCCCAGCTTCCTTGAAAGAGAGAGGAAAGCAAGACTCTGCAAAAAAAAAGTAAAATCCTCTCCTGGCCCTGCCTATTTACATATTAACAACTTGTTTGGCAGGCTGTATTACCAAGAAATTCCATGTATTATTTTCTATATAAATACTGTAAAATGAAATATAAGGTTTCAAAACAATTCAAAGAAAATGTAATGTTTAAGATCAGTGCTCAAATACCAAATACTAGGTCACAGCCCAGTGCTGGCTACAGACTGCTTGCTCCATAGTAAAATCAGCTGTGATATTCGGCCAGGCAGGAAAATCTTTAAAAAAAAATGTGTGTGTGTATATATTCTGGCTAATTGACAAATGTATCTTTCATCTTCCACTTAAAATAATGTATGATTGGTGTTTGGTTTCCAGATGTTTAATCAATGTATTTGAAACATTTCTTTTACATTGCAATTTGTTAAATTATAATTACAGGATTAGCTTGAACTTTTCTGTACTTTCTGCTTACAGACTTCTGACAATTACTATAACACAAGATTATGCTACTGTTATATATGCTTTTACTCCTTCTGATTCTAATTACAAGATATCTCTGTTAACTGACCTGCAAAAGTTTTGACTAGTCTTAGTTAAGAGATGTTACAATTCAATTGGCCAAATATATTTGAGTGCATGCTAATTTCATAAGTTGTCTTATATGTTTGCCTGTGTCTATCTAATTATGTAGTTGAGACTGACCTGGAACTCACTATGTAGCCCAGGCTGGTCTCAAACTCACAGTGATCCTCCTGCCTCAGCCTCCTGAGTACGGGGATTACAAGCATGTGCCACCATGCCTGGCTCTGTCCAATTGTATTTTTGATAAATGTTTTTAAAGGCATGGCCTCCTTTTCTCCCAGGTTGCTAGCTGTGCATATATATTGCATATATATGTGTGTGTATGTCTGTGTGTGTGTGTGTGAGTATTTTATTGGTTACAAATAAATTGTTAATTGCTACAACCTGATTTTACAAGTTAAACAAAACTGTCAAGATAATTAAGACATACTCCCAATAATCATTGCTAAATATGCTGTTATAAAATGTTTACATTGGTTATCATCAAAGGGTTGAGTTCTAAATATGTTATTGTGATATGTTTATATTGGTCATCGTCAAAATGTATTTTCTGTGGAAAAATAAGGTGTTATTAAAAAAGATCTTTTTGGTATGAGTTACATTACAGGAATAAGGCTTTGTATAATTATAATAACTATTATTACTACTTTTTTGGTGCACAAAATATATTCATATTGTCTGCCTATACAGGCCTCCAGCATATTGTTTATGGCAATAACCTTTTGATCCAGGTATTCGCCCTTCTCTTCCACTCCACCTACCCATGATTACAAGTACATTTGTAGGCCCATACACTTTCCTTAGATGGCATCCTATTAAAAGTTAATAATTTAAGTAAGAGTTTTTTGGTTTTTTGTTTGTATGTGCTTTTAGAGGGGAATAAATACATTTAACAATGTCTATTTTATACTAAAATACATATCTAAGTTTGTTGCAAAGATAATGTCATCATGATTGTCATGGTAAAATATTATTATTACGTGTAGCTCCTGATTCCAAGTTTTTTCTGCTAATATTCTACAGGAAATCAATTACTAGAACAACTGTGATTGATAAAAAATAACAGTCCTCTAACTATATTTTAGATTACAGGGTGTTTGCTATCCAGATAAAGTTATGATAGTTAAGCTCCTACTATACTACTGATGTCACTGATCTTCTCTTCTGGGTGTTTAACCACCAAAGGTCAAAAACCAACACTAAAAGGTAACTGGGCTAAGAAGACTGCCAATATTTGGCCCTCACCCTCCAAGGTCATCAAAGATCCAAGGTACGAAGGAACCTTTTGGACAACAACTTACATCTTTGGTAAGTCACCAAACCTCCTGAGCAGGGAGATTGCTAGACACCAAAGGACAAATGTAACACGTGCCAAAGGAGGGTCACCAAGAGAAAAAAATCTCCCACACTTTCACTGAAAGCAATTTGGTCAAGCAAGGCCATGACCCATCCTACTGGCTGACACTGACAGAAGAGCTGAGAGGCTCGATGCATGGTTCCAAAATAATGCCTAAAGAAACTTAACTGACCTTGACAGATAGCAAGAGGTTCATATTGATTAATACAGGTCTCACTTTAACTTGGTCTTAAATACCCAGCAAGAAAGAATAACCAAAAGAGGCAGTCAATGAACAGGTACTAGTGATAGAGAGACTTTCGAGGCCCACCACTCCACCTCCCTATAAAGGGAAAGCTCTCCAAGTGGTAGACCAGATACCCAGTCTCAAAAAAGACTACACCTATTCAGTACCACCCCCACTATCTGCCTGTCAATATCTCAGACTGTTCGATGTTTATGTCTGTTTGCCCCCACGTATTCACTGCAATTCCTGTCCCCCTAGATTTTAACCTGTCTGTCTCACATACTGACAATTTATCCACAGTTCTGGGACCCTTCACTTTGGGTCTCCCTTTCCCTACACAAACCACTAACCTGACATGCACGGGGCAAAGTGACAACATCACTTGCCTTGCTTGCTCCCTCTGTATCTCAGAAGAGCACCCTGTCTGCCTGTCCAATGGCCTATGCGTCATGTGCAGCCAGGAGGCATTCTGATGCCTCAACCAATCTGAAATTTTCTGTTGCATAGTGTTTCTACGACCCTCTTGACCATCTATATGGAAACCCAGATGTTTGAAAGGATCCTCCCTTGGTCAAAGATGAACAAGAGGGCGGCCCTCCTCCTGGTCCCCTTCTTGAAGCGGGGGTCCTCACTGCATGGCAACGGGTATAGCAGGCATTTCTACCTCTACACATTTCTATCCGACATTATCAACAGAGACCTCAGAAGACATAGATAAAAAAAGCCAATCCCTAAACACAGTCTAGGACCAGATTAATTCCCTAGCAGCTGGCATGCTCCAAACAGACATGCCCTCAACATGCTAACAGCAGTCCAAAGGGAAACATGCCAGGCTCTAGGTGAAGACTGTTGCTATTTTGTTAACTAATCAGGCATAGTCAAGGGAAAGGTTAAAGAATTACAACAATGCATCAAAAACTTTAAGAAACAATGGGGTACATGGGGAATGACCCAAGACTACTCCTGGCTCTAACAGATTATGCCATAGCTACTTCCCTTATTAGGCCCACTGACCTGTGTGTGTCTTCTGGCCATGGTAGGCCCATGCCTGTTTCGCTGTTTTCAAAATTTCTTACAGGAACGCATGAGAACATTTACCAACCAGTCAGTCACGGAACTCGTCAAGATGGGGTACCAGCCACTGTGGCAGAGGGAAGATCCATCTTCCCTCACTAGAGGGAAGCCGCTGCCCCCAACATATCTAGCTTTAGCCCCAACCTTTGCCCCTTTGTCAGCTTGAAGCAGCTCCAGAAGAAGACACCTTTGTCCAAAATCCATAAAAAAAAAAGCCTGGAATGTTAAATTTCTCTTTCCTAAAGATGGCCGCTACATAAAAAGAATAGCCTTCTTCCCATAATGCCCTGCTTCTCACCTGAACATATGGCTTCTCCCACTAAAGGACAGCCTTCTTCCCATTATGCCTCTTTTCCTGTTGAGAGAGAAGCCCCTCCTAGTGATGTCACAAGCTCCCCCAATCCTTAGCCTCTACATCACTCAATCCACCCCCCCAGCTCCTATAAGCCCCAGCCCAGTCCTATAAAAAGTGCTCCCTGTTGAGGCTATGTTGCTCTCTCTTCTTTGATCAGAGGTGGCCCGGCTAATGGTCCCTGCAATAAAGGCTTGTATTGGTAAACAAACAAAAAAAGGAAAACCTTCACACCAAAATCAGGAACAAGACAAGGATGTCACTATCACCACTCCTGTTCAATATAGTTTTGGAAACATTAGCCACAGCAATTAGACAAGATAAAGAAATAAAAGCAATAATGATAGGAAAGGAAGAAGTGAAATTGTCATTATTTACTGATGATATGATACTCTACATAGAAGACTTAAAAACCTCTGCTAGAAGACTCCTAGACTTAATTAACAGATTCAGTAAAGTAGGTAGTTGCAAGATAAATATGCAAAAATCAATAGCCTTTTTGTACACAAATAACAGATTCAGTGAGAGTGAAATTAGGGAAATGATCCTTTTCACAATAGCACCCAAAAAACTGAAATATCTAAGAATCAATCTAACAAAGGAAACAAAAGACCTTAACATTGAGAACTACCACACTCTGAAAAAAGAGACTGAAGAGGATATAAGATAATGGAAAGACATCCCTTGATCCTGGATAGGAAGAATCAGTAAAGTGAAAATAGCCATACTTCAAAAACTGCTATACAGATTCAATGCAGTCCCTATTGAAACCTCAACAGTATATCTCACAGAACTAAAGAAAACAATCCAAGAATTCATTTGAAATCAGAAGAGACCTAGAATAGCAATAGCAATTCTAGACAACAGAGACATGGCAGCAGGTATACAATCCCTAACTTGAAACTATACTACAAAGCCATTGTGATAAAAACTTCATGGTACTGGCAAAGAAACAGATCCAAGGATCAGTGGAACAGATTAGAAGATGCAGAAACAACTCCTGACATACTCAGCTACCTCATCTATGACAAAGGAGCCAAACACCCTCTCTGGTGGAAAGAGAAACACCCTCTCTTTAATAAATGGTGCTGGAAAAACTGGATTTCAACTTGTAAAAAATTAAAACTAGATCCATATCTTTCACCAGGCTAAAATCCAAGCAGATTAAAGATATAAATACTAAAACAGAAACACCAAACTTTCTGGAAGATAAGTTAGGTAGAACTCTTGAAGATATTGGCACAGGAAAAGACTTTATGAACAAGTCTTCAGTAGCAAGGGAACTAGCACAAAGAATCAACAATTGGGATCTCATCTTTTTGAAAAGCTACTGCACTGCCAGAGAAATCACAAGTAGAGCTAAGAGACAACCCACAATGTGGGAGCAAATTTTTACCAGCTGCTCCTCAGTCAGACAAAGGACTACTATCTAGAATATATGAAGAACTCAAAACAATTAGCCCCCCCAAACATACAGACCCAATTCAAAAATGGGCATCTGAAATGAACAGACATTTCTCGGACAGAGAAGTAAAAGCAGTAAATAAACATATGAAAAAATGTTCAACATCACTGGCCATTCAAGAGATGCAGATGAAAACAACACTGAAATTTCATCTCACCCCAGAAAGAATGGCTGCTATTAAGACATGCTGGCAGGATGGTGGGGAGATAGGAATCCTTCTTCATTATTGGTGGGAGTGCAGACTGGTGCAACCACTGTGGAAATCAATATGGAGATACCTCAAACAACTAGGATAAGAAGTCCGATTTGACCCAGCTAGTCCTCTGCTGGTTATCTTCCCAAAAGAATGAAAAGAATCATACCATAGTCATCTGTGCTCACCCATGTTTATAGCAGCACAGTTTGTAATAGCTAAAACTTGGAAACATCCCAATTGCCCATCAGTTGGAGACTGGATAAAGGAGGTGTGGTTTTTCTATAAAATGGAGTAGTACTCAGCCATAAAGAATGAGAAACTAGAGAGATTTACAGCTAAGTGGATGCACACTGAGGCCATACTCTTAAGTGAAATAAATAGAACACATGTGTAAATACTGAATAGTTTATCTGTTGCGAAAAACTAAAAGTGTAAATAAGGATCAAAATGTACAATTGATATTGTGTAATAGGAAGAAAAGGCCTAAAACAGCAGAGGAAGTGGGAGGGGCAGGAGAAAGGGAAAAAGGGAAAAGAAAATATGCAAAAAGGAAAAACATGAAAACAATGTGTTGGGGCTGAAGGGAGGGCTGGGGAATGGGGAAAAATAAGAACCAAGACAAGTCATGTAAAGGTAAAAGATCCCAATGATGAATGTAACTGTGTTGTACACCTAAAATGTATCAATAAACTTAATAAAGATTTTTTAAAGTATTCTGGTGCAATGGGAAGCCATTTGAGGAGGTTTAATTGGAGAAGCAATAGAACCCAATTCAGGATTGTAGGAGCTTAATTTAGCTGCTCTGCAAAGCGCTGACAATAAAGGGGGCAAAGCAGAAATGGGAAAGAGCATGGAGCTACTCAGAGTCTAGGGAGGAGATGCTGATCCTAGCGCTGGAGCATGATAAGGAGAAGAGAGGACAGCTTGGATTTGGGATGCAGCTATTGGAGTGGAGCTGATAGGACTGAGCTTGGGGAAAGGGGCAAAGAGAAGGGTCAAGGACACACGGGGCACTGCATTAGCTGGAAGTCTGGTCCTCACACTGCATAATTTTGAAATCTCTGACAAATATTTTGCTATTCTAAGGCTGTTTTCTCATCTTTATAACAATGGCAATAACTAGAATTAATAGTGTTGGAAAAGGTAAATTTTGAGCTATATCTAGTAGAGTGCCTAGAAGTTAGTTGGTCCTTAGCCAATTTAACACTCTCGAGGTATGCAGAAATCACCATTTGTTCTGCAGAACTTGTGACTTCTGTAAGACACTTAATAAAATGTCTCCTGGTATTTGGTGAAAGACTGCGTCATCATAGCAGATAGACTGACTGCCAAACAGGCACTGAGACCCAGCCCGCTCTCTGAAGGCTTATCCCTCTGTGCCTGAACCCTTGGCTGGGCAAATGCTCAATGCTTGGCTGACGCTGGATAAAGAGGGAGACACAGTGAGTATTGAAGGCTTACATGACATCAGACCAGAAGAGAGCTAATGCAAGAGATGTTAGAATCAGGACTCAACATATTCTCAACAGGCTGACAGCACGGGGCAGAAAAAACAAGAAGAAATTTAATAGCTAGAAACATGAAGTTCTGTAGTTGTGGGGTTTTTTTGTTTGCTTGTCTGTTTTGTTTTTAAGGTTAGCCTCACATGTACAGGGCTAGCAGCATCGGCAGCTAGAGCTGACGGCAGGGTCAGAAGGGACTCACAGCATGCCTGAGTCTGCAAAACAGTAAAAACTTTCAGCTGCATTAATAGAAATCTAGTGTCCAGGGCAAGAGAAGGGACAGTCCTGCTTTCTGTGCTCCAATCAAAGTCACCTGGAACACATCCATTTGCCAGGCCATGATTTATTGTTTTATTATTGAGGACAGTCCATCATAGAAGATGGAAATTGTAGGGATGCAAAATTATAACAAGCAAAGATCTTATTCTCTAAGGTATCACAGCAGATCAAGAGGAAACTGGCATAGGAGGGGGGCAGGGAATAAAGGCCTCAGAAAAGGTAGCAATAAAAAGTTATCCAGGGGCTTTGAGATCACCTATTAGTCACTGCCCAATGTAGAAATCAAAGAACTTGGACTCCTTCTGTAGGTAATGGGGCAGCCATTGAAAAGGTTGGGATTGGGGAATGATATAATTGAAGTTGTGTTTCCAGAAAGAAAGAAAAATAGGCAGCCATTTACAAATTGTCTCGGAAGGCAATATCTTACCCTCCAATTCCTTTTCCCATGGGATCTGAACACCAGTCTTGGTGGTGGCAGTGAAGCTGGCCTCACCGCCTCTTAGGCTGGTGTAGAGCAGACAGGCTAGTTTCAAATAGGGTTAAAAAAATAATAATATAACAGCAACAATAACAATAACAATAATAATAATAATAAAGGCAACATCTTACCATGTGGGATTCAGTCACGAGGGGTAGAACCAGAAAAAAATAAATGGAAATTTCAAGGAGAGAGATTTTGATTCAATATAATGGATAAATTCCTACTCCTCTCGCTGTCCCAAAAGGAAAGACTCCCTGGTGAGCAGCTGAGCAGCTGCTCAATGGCAGAGTCCAAGCAGCAGCCCGATAGCCGCAAGTCAGGCCCTGCACGCACTGAGGCGCTGCTGTCCCTCACGGCTTGCCGTCAGCCCCGGAAACCCGGAAGTCCACGCTTTCAGGGAGTACCAACTTCTGAGGAATTGACTTGGTAAACGTGTTTGTCGTATGCTTTTTGCTAGATGCATATTGTTCTTTCTATTGTCCATGAAATACTAATATGTACTTTTAAAATGTAACATCATATTTTATTAGAAGATATTACATTTTTTTCTGTTTTTGTTACATTTTATTTCAATTTAAAATTTACTCATGTTTTGAATAATTTGATGAAATAATATTAGTTTTGTTTTTAGTGTCAATAAAGAATCCCCCTGAAGTGAAATGAGTTCTGGAGCATTCACTTTAAAATATAAAGCTCATAAAATAAAAATTGATAGCAACAAATATGTATATTTTTGGATTGTCAGTTAATGTAACCAATAGGAACAATCTGGATGCTGTGTTCCTCGTGTGTTAACCGTGCACAAATAACACAAATACAGAAACAGTGACTTAAAGTTTTAACCCAAAAGTTTAATTTCAAAGATAATAATGGAAGATACTCATGATTTAATCAGAAATTATCATTTTGATTTTTTTAACAAAGCATTTTTTTCAGGTTTTTGTTAACCTTATACTTGTCCTCAAAATCGTCCACAAAATACCAAAGCATATGCAACAAAAACGCATGTTCCCCTTTTTACAGAGAGAAAGTGAAAATCATCATCATGCCGTCGCAGGCCAGGGAGAATCATGGGAGCAGCAGGAAGGACCGTGGTGCGGGCTTTGTGTGTCGAATCTCACACAACAGCAGTTGTGCCTTCAGCCCAGGCCTGATTAACTCCCTGCCTCATGCTGAATGAGAAGGAAAGCTGTCCAGGTTTTCCTGAGGCACTGCAGAGGGAACAACAGGTATCAAAAGTCTCTTTTCGCAAAATAGTTTTGACCAAATATTACTTAATTGTCATTAAGAGGAAATTTACCCTGAGGACACTAGACTTCTGCTTAAAGACATCACCAGTTTAGGTAGAATTTGTGTTGCCATCTTGCTAGAAAAGGCAAGAAGATATGAACATCTGTGAAATGGAAAGATTTTCTTTTTCCCTCACAGTGCTAGAATCGAACCCAGGGCCTTGCACACAACAGGCAAGCGCTACATCAGAGCACCTCCCCAGCTTCTGAAGATACACAGTTTTTAGTGCAAAGTAGTACGAAATCAATCAGATAATATTAGACAACAAAATGTGGACACAAGTCTACAACTGCAGCAATTGCCTATTTACTTGTGATTCCAAGTTGATTCTTGTCTTTGTGATCTTTCTCCCACTTTTTCAGAGTTTGCCTTTGAACTCAGTGTCCTGATTGGCCTCCCGTTTTAGCTGGAAGACTGCCAATCCCCAGGACAAGAGACCCACTGTCGGCTTCTTGTGCTCCCAGCTGGCAGAGCCAAGGTCGGAGACCCACAGAGGTACAAGCCTGCCAGACCTTCACAGCAAAAGAGTGGCCAGCACTGCCAGGGCCCACTGTGTGGCCCTCCTCTTACTCACCTGTTGTTTTTTTTTCTTTCTGCTTAGTTTGCTAAAATTCCCCACACTTTAAAATCAATGTTTGGTCATTCCCTCTCTTTTCACTATTCTTATTCTTCCTCATTTCATGAGTTCTCCTTTCGCAAGTGGCTTCTTACATATGATTCATTAGGTCGGAGACCCACAGAGGTACAAGCCTGCCAGACCTTCACAGCAAAAGAGTGGCCAGCACTGCCGGGGCCCACTGTGTGGCCCTCCTCTTACTCACCTGTTGTTTTTTTTCTTTCTGCTTAGTTTGCTAAAATTCCCCACACTTTAAAATCAATGTTTGGTCATTCCCTCTCTTTTCACTGTTCTTATTCTTCCTCATTTCATGAGTTCTCTTTTCACAAGTGGCTTCTTACAGATGACTCATGGTGAATTAGCAAAAAACTTGGTCATATAAACTTTTTTGATCCTACAAATTCAGTGGTACACTTTAGGTATGCATCATTGGGAGCCTCTACCTGTATGTGACATATCTTGGTGCTTGTCTTTTCCCATCCCCCTTTCCTTCCTTTCACCCACCCCTCCGGTCTTCCTAGTTACAAAGCTTTGTATGTGCACAGCAATAGACGCTCACCGATGTTTATAGCGGCACAGTTTGAAATAGCTAAAGCTTGGAAACAGCCCACATGCCCATCAACTGGTGACTGGATAAAGAAGATGTGCTCTTTTTATGAAATGGAGTTCTACTCAGCCATAAAGAACAAGGAACTAGAGAGATTTATAGCTAAATGGATGCACATTGAGGCCATACTTTTAAGTAAAATAAATAGGACATGCATGTAAATATAGAATTGCTTCTCTGGTGTGAGAAACTGAAAGTGTAAATGACCAAAATGTATAATAGATAACGTGAAATAGAAAGCAAAGGTGCAAAAAGGAAGAGGAACTAGGGAGAGGGGCGGGAGGAAAGGAAGGAAGGAAAAGAAAAAAAGAGAAAAGAAGGAAAAATGGCAGCAAAGCTCTCGATCATAGAAACTTTAAGCTCTTCTTCCCTATTCCTCTGGAATCCTTGTGTGCTAACGTGGAAGTATAAAATTCCCTCCAGCAAAGAAGAAAGCAGCAACTATTTCCATGGTGACAGCATCAGAAATTAATTTCATTAAATGCGCACTTGTATAATACTAAGGAAAAGAAAACTCCAACATCTACGGAGACATTGAAGAAAGCAGCAACTATTTCCATGGTGACAGCATCAGAAATTAATTTCATTAAATGCGCACTTTGTATAATACTAAGGAAAAGAAAACTCCAACACCTACGGAGACACCGTTCTCTGCACTTTCCTTTGGAAAGCACACACCGGACTCAGTACTCCAGCCCTGGGGAGCAGAGTTGATGGCCAAAGCCGTGGCCGGACCGAGGACCCGCAGGGCCAGCAGGCGCAGGAGCAGAGCCGGCACCAGGGATTCCTTCGCATTTATTCGGCAGCTACAGTCGTTGGTGCACCTCATTTGAAAAGGTGCCCGAAAACTCCAACTGGAGAATTACAGCCGTAATAATCATATTTAACCATCATCGTCATCATACAACAGTAGTAAAGGCTGGCCCTGGGCTCGGAGCTCCGGGAGGAACTCGGATCTCCTCTGGGAGCAGAAAGCTGGGAGGGAGGCGGCGGGAGAAGACATCTGTAAGTAACTTGGGAAAGGCAGGGCAATTTGGAAGTTCCCTGTCCCTTAAAGAGCGGGGAAGCCGCTGAACGCACAGAAGGCACAGAGCGCAGCCGCTGCAGCCAGACTGAGCAAGGGAGCGTGCGGTCCTCCAAGCAGGGCCTTTGGTGGGAGACTGCAGCGGGCATCGAGGGAAAGGCGCCCTGTCGCTTCGCGTCAGATGGGGTCCGGGGGTCCTGTCGTCGTCGTCATCATCATCATCATCACGCTGCCCCATAACGTACACGTGCAGGCTCTTTCTGTGACTCGGATACTAAAGAGCAGCTTAAAGCGCTGGCCCCAAGTCCACGCCCGCCTTCCTGCTCGGGGGAGAGACCCTGCCGCCTGCACAGCGCTCTCCCCTGCTTGTCTGTTAACATTTTGCAATCGTTCTTGTGGACATCATAACAAATAACATCAATTCGTGTTCAAACTAATGATTGATGAGACCGTGGAGAGGGGCGGGACACTTTCTCCAGTCTCCTTTACCTCAGAATTCGAGACTTCCTCGTGACCAACTTCTTGACAGACTCTGGAAGTGACTTCGTCTCCGCGTGGCTGAACAGCAAGGTCTAGCTCTTGAGGGAAGTACAGGAACCTCTTTGGTTCCCACTGTTTTACTGTAGTAATGTGTTTTTGCTGGGAAACTGCCTGTTTGCCTAACATTTCTTTTTTACTCTTTGAACATGTTAGCAATTTTAACTACAGTGGGCCCTTGACTTATGAACTCGATTAGTTGCAAGAGCTGGTTGTAACTCAAGTTGGTCGACTGAAGGCTCGGGCTCTCTCATACAACCCTCAAAGCCTCTCTCCTCTCAGTCCTTAGGGAGACACTGGTCCAGGATCTCTCAGTTAACCCCACACGGGAATGGATGGACTTTCTCTAAGGGTTAAGTCTGTATCTGAGACCATCTGGAAGTACAAGCGGCCAGCATTTGGGGCATAATGCAAGACTTTGTTCATACATTAAAACTAAAATTCCAGCCATAACTCAAGTTGTTTGCCAGGCCAGTAGTGACTCAAGGGTCCACTGCATTTGTAAGTGTTACTATTTTATCAAATTGAAATTTGACAATGCATGGCATCTCATTTCAGAGCAGTTGTGCTTTTTCTCTCCACGAGAATTAGGGTTTGCTCAAGGTGGAAAAAGGGCAGTACAGACCCCAAGGGAGAGGGTGGGAGAGGACTGAACTGTTTTGGAAGCAGAGGGGCTTGCGGTGGGAGGAGGTGAGGCAAGTAAGGACATCAGGGCCAGAGGAGCTCTGCTGAGGCTGGCGTGCTGCGTGAGAGCAGAGGGAAAACTCAGAATGCACCCGGGGCCAGTGCTGGATGGACGGAAGGGAGAGCCCTGGAGCGGTCGGAAGAAAGCCAAACAGAGACAGGTTCACACTCAAGCAAGATGTGAAGGTTAGAGGCTGCCAAGTGGAAGAAATTTAATTCTGGGAGCTCACACATCTGCCTTTCCCAAGTGCCGGCAGATTCACACTGGGCTGATGGGGCCTGGCCTGACCTGGGCAGCAGCACCGAAGAAATGGTGGTGACGACTTCCTGAGGGGAGCCTGTGGGCCACAGCTGTGCTGCTTGCATCGAGTAAGTGCACCCCTTCCCTCTGGAGTCCGCGGCAGGGGTCCTGATGGCTGCTCCGTGGTCTGAGAAGTCAGGCGGCCCGTCCAGACCTCGGGTCCTGAGTCCTCAGGGAGCGACCAGAGACCCCAGTTTCTTCCTCTGTTCGGGCACATTCCGCTGTGTCCAATCTCAGAACAGTCACTGGTGCAGTCTTAGCTCATAGCTCTTCCAAAAGAACTCTGAAAAAGCTTCTAGTCCTTGGCACATTTATAAGTTAACATCTGTATTTTTCCAAAGTGTATAATAGTTATAAACGTTATAATTCTTACATTGTTTAAATACAGAAATTGTAAAATAAAATCTTTTCCTCACCTTTAATCTATCCAGTGGAATTTATAATGTTTAATACCAATTATCATTCATTTTAAAAATAAATGAACAATTTTTAGCTGGGTACTGTGGTACATGACTATAATCCCAGCCTGCAGAGAGGCTGAGGCAGGAGAACCACTGAGTTCTAGGTCAGCCTGTGATACATGGTGAGTTCAAGGCCGGCCTGGACTGCAGAGCAAGATCCTATCTCAAAAAAGCAAAGAAATAAATTAAATAGAATAAAATGAGAATTTTTAAGTTACTGCTTGACCTATTCCCCCCCTCTCTAAGTCATATTTCCAACCCACTTGCCCCCACAGACTTTTATCCTATTATATTTGTTTAAAATCTATATAGAATGCTTTGCCATAACAAAAATAAAAACATTAAACAGTTTTTGACATTTTTACATTTAAATTCTGTTATTTCGGAATCTTAAGAGTTGGAGCAATTTTGTCAGACTTGACTGATTAATCCAGGTATTACTTGATGACAGTTGACTAGGACATTACAAGTAGATCATAAAACTACAACTTCACAAGGAATGCATAATTTAATGAAATGATTCTTGCCTTTTTTTCAACTGGTTGATGTATTCGTGAATAAATAGTCCCTGTTATTAGAATGAGTCAGAACTTTGCAAAAAGTTAATAGCAAAGCAGAGTGAAAGTGTTTGGCGACTGCGGGGTGTGATTTACCAAAGACACACTAGTCGTCATTGCCAAGTCGTGTTGATATTAAAAAATGAGGAGAAGGCTGGCGCGGCATGGCCGTGATTGGAGGCACTGGCTATACTGAGAGCTGGATGGTGAAGAAATAGTCTCCCCTGTGTGTTCACGGTGAAGCAACAGTGTGAACGACTTGGGCTGTGACTGGCTGGGGGCTGGCTCCAAGGTCTACGGGTCTTGGTCCCTCCGGCGCTGCTCCCCTACCGGGCTTCCCTGTCCCAAGCGACTGAACCGCTTTGCTCCTCGGTGGTGCCCTCTGGCTCACTGTTCCCAACTTGGAGTCAGTCTGCCATAGGCAACAAATCTCTGAAGCCAGAGGCAGAGTCAAACCTCTCCCCCTGCAGTGTGGCTGTTGGACAGGGTGTCTCAGCATCAGAGAAGCTGAATAACACACGCTGCAGGTGAGAAGATACTGCAGAAAATGTAGAAGACTGTGACAGTACACTTTGCGGCACGGGCACCTGACGTCCGCACTCAGAGGAGGAGTGGTCATTGTTTGCTCACGGTTTCAGGGTTCAATCCCTGATCAGTTGGCTCCAAGGCAGGAATGTCAGTGGGGAAGGGCAGCAAAATCGCGCAGCAGGGTGTTCGGAGCAAAGCTGCTCATTGCATGATGAGGGACAGAGGAGAGGGGCTGGGAAAAGCTCCAGAGTGGGAAGGGACCAGGACAAGGGACCAGGGGTAGCACTGAAGGCCAC